ATACCGTCACCCATGGACATTTACAGCACCTGAGGGGCTTGCAGATGCGTTGACAATGTTTAGAAAAGTGAGCCCCGGTTACCTCACTGACCTGACGAAACTCGAAAGCATAATAACTTCCACTTTGCGTCGGTTTTCTGTAGGGCCGTGTTTCTTCCCTCGATGAGCCTGCCTATTCGTGCAACAGCAAAAGTTGTTGCGTGGCCCCACCACAGTAGAGAAAAATGAAAAAAAAAAGACAGTAGATATGCTAATCACCAGACGAATATGTTGCTTACTTACATTTTACAAATCATCGACAACGCATGACTAACGACTCGGCTTTAATAGCCATTGCGTCTCACCATAAACTATTTAATGCAAACAAAGCAGTTGACATAAAGCATTAATGTTCGAGCATCCATCTCTTAGCTGCGACAGAAGCATATGAAGCAAGCGGACACGTTGCGCAATAAACCGCAGCGATTTGCCGCCTAAAGGGCGAGTGAGTGCCTACGAAATACGTCCAATTTCCCCTTACACAATTGTGGGATTAGAGCGAAATTTATACGTCTGGCTTTTTCAAATTAGACCCCGTTTGGTAGGCTTAATTCCGTCTGCGCAGTTCCATTTGTCGCCCAACCCGTTGCCAACAATGGGAGACTCTGTTAACCCGCAGCCAGCCAAGACGTTTATGCCTCTGATGTTTTATTATCCAAATATATTATCCTCGCATTCAGCTTAGCCTACTTATGAACTTCACACTTCTTATTTTGGCATGAAACAAAGTTTGTTCAGAATTTAACAATTTTAATATCTGTAAATTAAGCATGTACATAAAAGGGTCTCACATATTGAAAGCATTAGTTAATATCTGCGAAAAGCACATCTCGTTTTAAGAGTTGTTAAGTTTCATTTATTACATTTTTTTTGACCAACTAACTTATATAAGTTCGTTGAACATAAAATTTGACGAACGTTTTATATTACACTACTGCAGATTAAACTTTTCTTAAACCGTGGGCGACCACCTATACCACCATAATAGTTTCCATCCCATAACGATAATACAAAATAGTGCAGATATCAGATGAAAAGCGTATAACGTGTATTAAAAGGCTGATAACCTCCTCCCGAAGTATGTAATTATTGGAAATACTATTTACTGAGATCGCTCGCATGGGCGCTTGGGGATTCATTTGAAAATCGTCCCTATCCCTTTTCATTAAAGTCGGTCTATACGGAGCGGTTAGAGCGCGTCACGTCAACCGTTCTTTCGCTTAAAGCTCGCGACGGGTCTATGAATCGGTCTATAATTAAGAAATAAGTTAAGTTACAGTTTTTTAGCTGGCCTCTTACAAAGCATCATGCGGCCGAAGCAATTAACCCGCCCCATAAATTGAATGTTTGCTTTATAGTGATTAGTAATTAAGTTGAAGTTTTTATACAAACGCTCACGACGCCGTTGATAGCGTTTGTTTATGCGAGTTAAGTTAACGTTGCGCAGCAAATATTAATTAAAGTTCGCTTGATCTTTTTTCACCTGTCTCCTTCGGAGCTCGCGCGCTTTTACTTTTGTTGCGTTACCCATGAATGTTGGCCAACTAAGCTAATAAATAATTGCGAACATATTTTATAGTGAAAAGCCACTTTCACAGTTTACGGGTAATGTATGCTACGGTGTAAGCGATAAACAAATCAATAAAACTGTAATAGCCAAATAAACAACAAATATGAACTTCGATAAGTCTGAACAGTATGTTGTCAAGGTATACCAAACCTGTAAGCCAAATCGACATCGTTATAAAAATCTCTATTAAGTAAGGTACTTTATTTATATTATTTTCGCATAGCACACGAGCATAAATTTAATCCCTTCTACGATACAGCGACCGAGGTAGCGTATATTAAAATTAATACGGGATACAGTGGCTTATCGTTGCTCGAACATTCGATCAATTAGCAATAAACCGTGTCGTCAGAGCGGTCACAATCCCGCATAAATTCAATTAGGACGAGCCGACGGCAACACTGGCCGTGGTCCCAATACTGGGACAACTTCATAGAATAATTGATGGAGCAAAACACCTACAGGAATTAAATCCTGCCCCAACAACTTATAGATAGCCGCACCTAATCGATCACAAGCCAACGGGAGAAAGATTCAAACGATATTAAAAATTCTGATAGTCTGTAGAATCGAGTCGACAAGATAGATATGAATATATGAAAAAACATACTTATAGCTTGACATTGTGTCAATCAAGCGGAAGGGTTATCATTTTATTGAAAGATATCGAGAGATATCGGAAAGGCCTATATCCTATATTTTCAAAATTTATACTGATACAAACTTTGATTCGCAGGTAAAGAAACTTTACCTGCGAATCAAAGTTTTTATTAATCTTTGTATATCTTAAACCAGATGTTTTTATTAAACACTAACAATAAAATTATATCCTCATTGAGTATTTTGTATTTGTGTTTTGTGTGGAAGGGCTTGGGTATTACATTCCAACGATCACTACGACCTAGACTCTATAAGATCAATTCTAGGCTACCTTTCGAAGACCCCTGAAGAGTGCCCTTTGCTGTAGGATAACATTAACTTGCTTTGTAAGGACGTTTTACATACATAAATTTCACGTGAACAAACACCCAGATCCGAAACAACTATCTGAGGTCACACAAACAGTTGTCTCGTGTGGGAATCGAGACCACGATCCCCGGCGCCGAAGCAACTTTGGCGAATGCCCCACAGAGTCATCAAAATCGGATATACCTTTCGATTTTAGTACTTACTAGCTTTTCGCCCACGGCTTCGCTCGCGTTAAAGCCCTTAAAGAAATATTTTTCTTTAAAAAATATATATTTTCAACACTTTTTTCCAATTAATAAAAAAAATATCCTACGTCCTTTCCCAGGCTCTAAACTATCTGTGTATCAAATTTCATTTAAATGGATTCAGTAGTTTTAGCGTGAAAGCGAGACAGACAGACAGAGTTACTTTGGCATTTATAATATTAGTATGGATTACTTTTCTCAACAACTTAGCGACAAAAAGGGTGTCACGAGCAGTTTCAGCAATACAAGATCACAAACTCACTTCACTCCGTAGCTAAAAACATCTATTTGTTCAAACAGCGCAGTTACCTCCTGGTTGGGAATTGAACACGCAACACAGAGCGGCAGTTAACCCACTCATAACCACCGCGCAATCCGTGCAGTATAATCGTTTTGTGTGTTTAATCTAAAATTTAAAAAAGGCAGTTTTTATTTTTTTTTCTTCACTTTTTATCTTGCGAAAAAAATTGTAAAATTTGTACAACAAAAACAATTAAAATATTTTAATTTGAATTAATGAACAAAATCATTGTTTTTTAACAAAAATTGTAGGTAAAGAAAATTGGTTTAGAGCGAATTGAACCGTAACATTTATGCCGTTCATTGACACCACTCAAAGAAACAGTGCACATTGACCGATAAACAATTTGATAAAAATGACAATCTCATCACAAAACAAAATCTCTCTCGTGATGTCGATACAAAATCTATGTTATCTCATATGTTATAGAATGAAGAATAAAAAACTAAAAATAAGTATTTTATAAAATCGCTAAAGGATGGATCTTTCCTCGTACTTTTGAAGCTTTAAAGTGAAAATTTTAAAGAAGTAATTCGGGAATAATTACTATTATCTTAAACATGCAACATCCAATCAACGATTGACTATATATTTCTGATATGACAAAAGCTTTACCAAGCTGTCTAGCGGCAAAATATATAAAACATTTAATAAAATAACGGATGAATAAAGTCGCGTGAAGTTTTGTCTATTTCATTCGTCATATCTCATCGGAAGTGTGTCGTTGGAATGCACTTTCGATACAATCAAGCGGGATTCACTTCCGTTTGGATTGTTCGAAAGAAATAAATTTGAATATTTGTCACACAAACTGAAAACGATTGTAATTAATGCTGACGATTACGACGACGACGCAGAAACATTTCAAGATAAAAAATAAAAAAAGTCTCATCGCGAATACTTCCAACCAACTGACACTAAGACGGAACCGTCCAGAAATGGCCGTAAAACAGTATATAAAACACGACTACACAATATTCCGAGAAAGCTAAAACGTGTCGAAAGTTTCACGAAAACGGCAATACGTTATGTATTTCGCTGTATCTTATGTATCATAGCCAACAGCAAATTAGTGTAAACCGTCGCCTAACATAATAATATGCGTAGCCAACTATACCAATTAACTCCAAAAGACTCTACCTAATCATCATGTAATTAGAGACAGCTGGAGCTATAAGGAGAGATATGTAAGCTTTCAACGGATGGAATTTCGCTGCATCATAAAATTGTCAATCAGCGAGCGGCTTATCTTGGTGCCTCGCGGTGGTTTCCACGTCGGATAGTATCGGATCTGTTTTAACATCAACGCTCGCAATCTATATCGAGAGGAGCGTGGAGAAAGAGATGCTGCGATGCCGCGCGGGCCCTACTGACAGACCTCTATTTAATAATAGTCCTCCCTCCGCAGATTATCTTCGCCGCGTCCGCCCAGAGCGCGCCGGTAGCCCTGTCGGCCGTCATTATGCAATTGAAACTTAGTGAATTATTACGCACGATGATAATCTCCATAAATAAATAAGCGGGCGCGCTGGGCGGCGGTTTAGCGTTGTGGAACGTTCGCGACTTCTTCCTAGTCGGGACTACAGGTGCCTTGGTGATTCTGCTCGCCATTGATTTCACGTGATTAGGTGTGCCTTTTGTTTATTTTGAGTCGATCATCGATGTCTAAAGGGGTTAAAGAATCGATGGTTGAAGGGTCTTGGCGCGCAAATCCGGAAGACGTGGGAAACTTTTCGTCCTTTTTTCTACAAATTTTAATAAGCAGTTTCACCGCCAACACGCTTTGTGTCCATGCCTCGTTACGAAAAAGAGTCGAGAGCGTGTTCGCCGCGCCCGAGAGCACCGTTAGCTAAACAGGTATTAATCATAATTTTCACTGACGCATTCGGCTCTGTTTTCTTTTGATAACAGTCATTAGCTCGTTGGTCGTGAACTGCGTGTGGGCGGCGGGGTCGGCCGGTGGAAAATTGCCGTGCGACACTGGCCGCGCCGTAATGGATTTCGAACCGCCCGAGAAGACACCTCTGAAACGGTGGAATAATCACTTCCTGCTAGTTAGCCGTGTTCGACGTCGTTACGGGAGCAGTTGATGTGACTCCAAATGACAATGCTCTCTGAGAAAAGGCAAAACAAAAAAAACGCAATAAATCCATAGGAGTAGTTGCATTTATAAGGACCAACCCGTCCCGGCTTCGCACGAGTGCAATGTATAATAACAAATAAACCTTCCTCTTGAATCACTCTATCTAGTTAAAAAAGCGCATTATGATCCGTTATCGTAATTTTAAAGATCTAAGCATACATAGGGACAGACATACAGCGGAATGACTTTGTTTTATAGTATGTAGTGAAGAAGCTTACGCGCTTTGAAACCTGAACGCTGCAGACAGAGATCTGCTAGAAAATCTGCTATCGACCATGATTGAACATAAGTCGGCAGCAATTGGACGGTTCATCGCCAAGCTTTTGATCGAGTGACTAATAAAGTTTATATATATAACTCGACCAAATAAATCGATCAAAACCTTGATCAAATGATGACTCGGTGACACAGTTGCTAAAACATTGGTTATGGTTTCCGTGCCAGCGGTCGGGAGTTCGATTCCCACACAGGATTGATAATATGTTAATGTGACCCCCAGACAAATGTTCCGGATCTGAATGTTTGTCCCCAACGAAGATTGACGTCTGGCAGGTGGCAAATCCACTTACAACGTGATTCACCATGTGATATTTAAACATAGAAATTTGGTACTATAGCATTAACACACGTAAGCATCTCAAATATAAACAAAACTCTCATAGCAGACACGAATATTTCACACTTTCTGCCTCATTTACCGAGTTTATAAAAAAGTAAGTTTTATAAAAATTAAATCTTATAGAAAAATTTACCACTCATGTCACCTATTGACGCATCACTGGGCGTAAAAATGTTATACATTCATTTTACCACAATATCAATTTCAAATAAATGCGAATAACTGTATACCGAGATCAATTTTAATCGATACATTCATCTGACATCGTGATCGGCTTACAATTCACAATCGATCTTTCGAACCGGCATACTTTGATTTGAAAGCGCTGCGAATGAAAAGAAAATTAATTTTAGTCTGTTACTACTTATTTTTCGACAGTTCAATCTCTTTTGTGCGTGTTGTTTTGTTGGAACATTAAAAACGTGTTTACATCGAGTGTCTAGTCGTGGTAAATAAATTTTGTAATAAACTGGCCTGAGTATGTGAGTTATAATATATAAGTTTCGTAGGTCAGGGTGCTGAGAGAATACTCGTGTACTTAAATATATATAGATAGTGAAACTCTCCATTTCCTCGATCGTTGCCATCTCTTCTGGGACAGCGTCTTCTCCTTGTTACCGTTTTAGTCTTTATTAAAATATGCGATTTCCCTTTAAGCCAAACACAGGCTTCATAGGTCACGAAAGGTCAAGTTGAAGGGGATAATATGATAAACAATACCGTTATTGTGTTCTCGATGCGGACGAGTTCTTAGAACGTTCCCTCGGGATCAATTGATCGACAACAGTAGCTGTCATGAGTATTTTAAATCGCTACTCAACGGTTAATGGGTTAAATCGCTCGCCGGTCCGTCGAATTGATTTAATTGAAGCAATGGCGGTTTGCTGACTGGGTTAAATCACTGGGAACTTATTCTGGCGCGTTTTCGACGGACGCAAATTTTAGGGTAGGTCTCGTTACGATAGAAATAACTTAGTTATGACGCTATTAAGTTTTACACGGTACCAAGGTTTTATCAGCTAGTATCTACTAAAATCATCATCACCATCATCATTTCAGCCTGTTTGAGTCCACCGCAGAACATAGGCCTCCCCCACAGACTGCCACGAAGCACGATCCTGAGCCACCTGCATCCATAGACTTCCTGCACACTTGCGCAATGAATCTTATAAGTATATATATATAATGAAATAGTATAAATATTACGATTTAAAAAAGTTAGGTCGTCAGAAACTAAAACTTTTCGATTTTTTTATTGTAAATAAAACCAACATTTATTTTAATAGATATAGAGCGTTAAAATCGTTATTAAAAATAAATTTTTCGGCCAACAACTGGTTTCACACAAAAAAAAGTATTTAAACCTTAAAAATGAACATCCCTATGAAATACCATCGGAAGTAAGGAATGCAATGATGACTAGTTTCCAACGAATTCGGTCGCGTGGCAGTTAATAATATAATAAACGCTCCAAAGAAACCTCGCAACTGTCAGCGTCACCGCGGTGATAATTTTCACGTCAACTAAAACTGCATGTTAATTGTAAAACACAAATTGCTATTATTACTGCGGATCCGGCTTCGCTTGCGATTATATAAAACAAAACCGCGCGGTTAACTTCTTTCGTGAGCTACGCCCGTATAACGCTTGTCGCATAAAATCCAATAATAAAACAAGAGCTAATGATGTTTATAGAGCCGTGCGTGAAAGACGTTGCATTGAGTCTTTTACAGCACAGATAAAATAACAAAAAATACGCGCGGGATTAAAACGTCAGCGTGAATTTTAGAGTGCGCGCCGAATGCGGTAAAAGAACGACTGCAGCCCTAACACATATCCCGGCATCGTTCCGTTCGGGGCTTAAACGCGACCGATAAAAACATTACAGGACGCTCTCAATAAATACACATTAATGTCCCGGAGCATTCTGGTTTACATTCCGCGCGGTTTCCAACGAGTTTTGTGAAGGCGGCGCTCGCCCGCACACGCAATTACAAGCGCCCGTTCGAGGTACAACCAATATCGGTCGCCGGGCGATACTTAACTTAGCACACCGCTACATTGCCGAGTCACCTCTCGGTTGTACAGTGAAGACGTTAACCGGATCGGAGACAAATAACGTACAGAACGCGCTCTTCGTCGCTCTTAGAATTTAAATAGAGCCGTTAAAACAAATGCATTACCGTGGTACTTGTGTTCGTACATAAATTGCTTAACAAATTCGACGTATCAACATTGGTCATCCAATAAGATCATATTTTACAATTAACGAAGATAACACTAACAGATAATCATTATAAATTATTACGTATTTTTTCAAACATGTACGGCTCATATCTTTTTATATCATAGAAACAATAAGTATAATATTAAGTGCAACCAATAATGCATCATAAAGCATACCATCGAGTTCGAACGCTCGGGAAACAATGCGCCGATCGGTAACCCACAATTGAAGGCGATGCGGTGAGTAGGGCTGTCCAAACGAAAGCGGGCACACGCACTGAAAGAAGAAAAAGCCCTGAGCCAACCAGTTATTACACTAATCGCCGCAATATAATTCCCGAGTCAACTTAAACACAGGTTCATTGCAGATCGAATGCAAACATGGCGGCCGCTTTGTGCACGATAGCGCGGGAACGGACAGTTGCGGTTTTTCTCTGGCAAATATTTATGATAAATCGCTTAAAATATGTGATGAAAAAAACATATAAACCATATATTATGGATCTAAATCGAAACAGTACGACCGATGACTAATGTAATTAAGCACTCACCTAATAGAATTTATTGTAATTATTTTTAATATACATCGAATATACACGAATTACATCTCGCGTTTTAAAAATCAAAAGTATATTGTTTTTATCTAACAGTATAACGAGTATTGTTATCAATAGAAAAAAAAGTTAAGTAAAGTATCAGCAAATGTTTTGTATGTGACCAAGAACTAGGAAAAATATTATAATCGATTCAAGTTTTTTACCTTGTAGGCAGCATAAATTTTACCACCGCTCTCACTATATTACAAAAGTTTGCTGATATAAACACAAAATATCTCGTAAATGTAATAATTCGCTGTAGGAAGACGGCACGTCCCGTTGCGTTTCGGTCCATCAAAAAGCGGCGCGAAATTTGCAAGTTTCCTTTTACCGCACGCCGAAGTTATCTACAGACTCGGCTGCGCGCCTTCCAAGCGCATCGGCGTCTATCGGCGACATTTTATGTCCTTTTAATCGATTTGCCCACTATTTATCACTATATTTGCGAGTGAACGAAATACTTAAAGTTCTCGACCACATTCAGTTGTGACATCATGCTCCTCAGCGCAATCGCCTTGCATATGTCTGTATTTACATATGTAAGGAAATCTAAATATGGCTGTGTTATTCGAGTAGATTATGTAGATTAAGGGTTTTTAATGGATTTAATTATACTGGGAGCCACGGAGCAGCTTCTGGATGGATGGACTGGTTCGATTTAGAAAGTATCACGGCCTACTAAAAGACGTCTAAAAAAATATTTATACTTAGTGTCACATGAATTATGTTAGCTATATTTAACTTATATACATATAGCTAACGGTGTATAATGTGAAAAAGTGTTGGTGTAAAAAACGTCTCGTGTGCGACTGTTGTACATCGAAAACTATAAACACGTTATTTTGGATTTATATGACAACTAACACGTTAGTTATATCACAACATCGATACAATGTCGAGCGTATTTCTTGTACAAGGGGCCGTGTTTTTTTCTTCATCACCATTCGAAAGACATTTCATTATCATTATAATGGCAGTAACGAATAAACAAAACACGTGGGCCGCGCCGCAGGGCTGACCAATACAGTTTTTGTGAGTCCGGGCCAACGCGGAATCCGTTGAGTTCATTATTAACGGCCCGAAACCGTAATGCAAATGAACGCATTCGTAACACCTAGATTGTAAAGATGACATTAATGTACGCCGCGATATCAAAATATTTATTGGCCTAAAACAAATTATAAGTGTAAATTTAAATGCGTTTCCAACGTTTGAAAGCGTTTTACAACATCTCTTAACATCTAAATCCCGTTCGTGTCTATGCCCAACCACTAACTCAAGTCACCCGGAGTGAATTTAAAAATTTAAATGTCCTCCACCTATTAAAATCGTACAGGTTTTTTTAAATATATCGACTAAACAGAAACATAAAGCAAGGAGGGGACAAATTTTTATGGGTTTGACTTTATTTTATACTCTTTCTTTATTAAATACAACCGGCGAACTGACGCGGTCTTACGAAACAAATAATGTTTCTTTCCTTTCATCGGGCAAAAGTTTGACACCTTAATGTGGAAGAAATAAAAGATGTTTGTAAGCATCTTGGACAGTGGAAATTCGTAACGTCTGCTTACCTCTTCAAAAGACAGGCGTAAGTAATATTTCAATACAGTCCATAAATAACAGGGAGAAGTACTGTCAGAAAAATCAAATCATCGGTTTAATCTGACAATGGCGTTTCGTCTACTGATATAGAAATGTTTACGTTAATATACATAGCTTATTGACATTGCGAGATCTAACGAACTGCTCGCGCTCGTCGCGAAAAATAGTAATGAAAATTTGTGGAATCCAATACCAAATTAGCATTTTCTTATGTGACTTGTTGTGAAGCAATGATGTATATAATAATACAAAATATAATATAAATAGATAGATATGACACTAGCGCACTGGAACTGAGGCACCCAAACTACTCCAATTGGTGTAATTACATTGCAACTCTATAGACTGCTATCTTTTTCCATATCATTACCATGTCACATTCACCTATAAATATCATATAATGTAATGCGGAACAATAATTTTTAAACGCCGGCCGCGCTGTATGGACATTGTTCATGTTTATTAAAAGTTCTTTGTTGTAAAGTGAGCACGCTGTTCACGTGATGTTTAGAGAATACCGCCGATCATAGAGATCTACAACACCTGGTGGTTAGCAGATTATGTTAGGCCGTGCTATTTCCCGGGACGCGCGTGCCCATGCGTGCAATAATAGAAGCCTCGCCGTGGCCCTACCACAGTTACATTATATATCAAAATAACGTTAAAAAAAGGGTGTATGCATGAAAATTGCAATTATTTTATTTTCAACAATTTTTTGAAGAAGGTGACAAAGGAGGAAGCGGTTAGTCTAAGTCAATTTTCATATGCTTGCCAACCTAAAGAGAGTAAGCTTTTGGTTACCACACTCCCCAAAATGCCAAATAATCCCTTCCCTGTTTTGTTATGCGGAGAGATTCGTGCACCTTCAAAAGCTTCTGCGTGGCTTTCCAACAGAGCAACCCCAGCAGAATAAATATTGATATAATTGTTAGCCTGCGGACAATAAACGTACAAGTATTTAGCAATACTGATTTGTTCATGCGCGCCGTGGAACACGTTCAGTCTTATTAACATAAACGCCTGAAATGTTTTACGCTCAAGATTTCCGCGAGCATTAAAACGGATGGACGTAATTCATATCAACGAAGCGGGCGATCGCGGCAGTAGTAAATTGTCCAATTTACAACGTACCATTTCACGGACCTCCTAGCTAAGGAACAACGAAAGGCAATTAAAAATCGGCCCCTCTAAGGGTTGGCTATTAAAATCTAATATACGATCGTTCGGAACAACTAAAACTATTCGCTTAACCCCCCGCGAGCGAAACCCGCCGCGCCAAAGCGCACTGCATCGTCGAATTTATCACTTGGGATATTAAATGTCGCTCCACATATAAATTAGGGCCGTAATAAGTCAGCCGATCGGCACGATCCCAGCGGCGCATCAACGGTTTCGGCCGTGAGGTAATTGAAATTATTAATTCGCAATTACCAAGTTGGGTCGGCGGCGGCGGGGCGATGTATTGCCATTGCCATTGCGGTGGCGTTTTGAGTCATGAGCGACCGTTCCGCTCTGACGCGCCCGCTTTATTGCGCCGCAGTGGCTCTAAGATCGCCGCGTGATTTATTTACGGTCTTTAGAAGCGATAGTCAAAGTTAAAATGTTTAAATATAACTGTCGCTAAATTTTTCGAAGCCTAAGTGCAGAGACTAACACTAAAAATAAAAATAAAAACTAAAATTATTATAGTCAGTCTTGATTTACTTACGTATAAAGCAATCGTGAATTTTAGATTAAAACTGATTCATCATTATCATTTCATCCTGTCTAATTACTGCTGGATACATGCCTCCTCCACAGACTGCCACGAAGCACGATCCTGAGCCACAAAATATTATATCACAAAAAAAATAAAGTAAAGTAACAGCCTATACATGTCCCACTGCTGGGCAAAGGCCTCCTCTTTACAGAGGGTATCAGGGCATAGTCCACCACGCTGCCCCACTGCGGATTGGCGGACTTCACATATCTTCGAAATATATTTTTTTTGTTATTATTTCGAAACTATGCAGGTTTCCTCACGATGTTTTCCTTCACCGCGGAGCACGTGATAAGTCAGCACTTAAAGTTAAAAACTTCATTGGTGCCGGCACCGGGGATCGAACTCGGGTTGCTCGAGTATATTGAATTAAAGGCGAGCGCCCGGACAGCTATCACGGCTCTTTTGTCATTATATCACAATGAATCATAATTCAAATGGGTTGAAACCAACGTAACATAGAAATTTATTACATATTATGTTAGAATTCAGTTTTCCAAAAAAAAATCCCTCGCAACGCAAGTATTATTACTTCTATTTTAGATAAAATCGGCTCTTACCAAATGTAAAAGTCCGACCTTTCGTATCAATATAATATTGGAAACAATTTCAAACATACATTTAATTTACTTTGATATTATAATTCGTAAGAATAATAAGAAAACATAATATGATTAAAATGAAAATTCTAGAGAAAATTCAGTTTGTATCTAAACTGAGCACAGCGCCCTCTCGCATCGCTCCATATCACGACTTCGTAGGCTGAAAAGCAAAAGGCTCGTACACGTGAACATATGCATATTAGACACGACTCAAATAACCCGAGGGCCTAACAGAACTGCATCGCCAAAGAGAATTGAAAAGTTGCCGTTCTCGAACTCCAAGCTATTTCAACAGCCTTCCGAGGAAGCTCAGTTATTTTTGCTGTACACAAAATTCTAAAATTCATTTTATATTTATACGAACTATACGAAACATTGAAACACGTGTAATTGCGTAAATTTTCGACAACTTGGAGTTAGATCCGAATTTACAGATCCTGAGAACAAATTTCTTCAAACAAATCATATCGTAATATATTCATAAGCAGTTTATCTTATTCCACATCATCAGTTCAAAGTCTACTGCTGAATGTAGGCCTCCCATACAAATTCTTGTATCGGATTGACAACAAAATAACAAAGTGACAGTCACAAAAATTGTCCCATGTTTAAAACAAAAGTACGAACTGTCTATATTCCAAATTTGATTAAAATACGATCAGCCGATACGGCGTGTAGACGGAGACAACTTTCCGATTTATTACAATAGTGCGTTCACGTTAAATAAAGATGTCGTCACTAAAGCGGTTCCAGTAAATAAAGCCTCCACCATACGACGCGGGAACAGGTGGGGACCTCCTCACACGGCGTCGGGTTGCATTCGATTGTGAGACGAGATCGAACTTTTCCGGTCGGAACTCGGCTGCACGCCCATCGCTCCGCCATTGTTCGTTCCGCATTAATTGCCCAACGTGCCCATTCAATATCGCGTAATACGGTACGGGGTACGGGACACAAAAAGGCACCCCGAAATCTCCCAAAGCTCGGGCATCCGCGCGGTGCTCGAAAAGCCCTGCGTACAAATTGTAACGCGATATTTTACACAGCGATTTGTTGGCAATAGCAGATGGGTGTGCCGGCACAGGAAGCTCCCAACTTGTTGCCAACAGTGGATGTTTCCTTAGAAAGCAATACGTCGACTGGCATATTTTTTTGCCCCTCAGTGTACCTAGTTATTATAATCGCAGGTGCTCTTCCATCTAAGGCTTAGTATTATCTTACAAATGTAAACACTAGTTCGCTTCTGCGAAGTTTGCGTTCTGGAAATTGTAAGTCTCTCAAACATGACTAGTTTTGTATGACGAAGAATGCACCCGTTATATAAATATTTAAAATTTTTATCTTTCTCGATATTAGCTATAGTAAACAAAATGGATGCTTTTCCCCATATATAAATTAGTAGAAACTTTATTATTTATTAATATACTTATTTTGTTTTATAATAATATTTAAACAAAAAACCGATTCGAGATTGAGTTAACTGAAGCAATAGTGGGAATGATAAATTTCTTATACCTATGCAAACAACACTTATACATTATTAAATTAAACAATTTTAAGAGTTTCATAGGGGTAATTTTTAATTTTAATTCCCGATGTTTAGATTACTAAAATTTAATCAAAAAATAATAATTATAGATTAAAAATCCGTACAAATAGTTCCATTTAGTAAGTAACAGTTACATTCCTAATCCACGTTCCCGCAAGTCTTATTTTAAGCTCGGCTATGCTTGCATGAAAAGTTACGGCGCCTTAAGAAACAATTAGTGAAGCCGCCGTGCCTGAATCTATTTATTTAAGGGGTCAAATCCCTACCGAATTTTAGAGCCCGCGCTCAGGTAAGGGATTTTTTTTTCTTCTAATTTTAAATCGGCAGCCGTGAGTGAATGCGGACGTGGCGGATTATTATTTTTGTAACATCTGCGTGTGTAACTCTAACTAGATACTAATAGATAACCGCGGATGCTTTTTATGGGACCGGGTTTTTTAATCTATTGTGCTCGGGGGCAGCGCCAAATGCGCTTTTTATTTATTGGGGTCCGTTTCTAAAGAACACGCGGGGTGCTCGCTGTAGCTTTGATGCTGGCATAATAACATATGAATGATGGAGACCGCATGTGGCCACTTGTTAATAATCACACATTATTTATAGCAACAACAAGTGCGTTTTATTTAGCAATCGATTTTAATGAAATCTTTCACTTTCAAGACTATAATATTTCTAACTAATGAAAAAAATAAAATTCAAGCAATGTAAGCAACATAAACAAATTATCTTACGCGGCCCCTTTTTAAGACCATATAAATCTATATCAGTAGTTATTTAATATATATTACTTATCGTTTATAAAATAAGTTAAAATAGGCAAAATGTACGCTGGATTTTCTGTAGAGAGGTGTTAAGCCAGTAAAGCTCGTAATTCCGCGGGAAATTCCTACTAGAGTTCCTGGCAACTTCGCGCTGAGGACTATGTGTCTTATATTTATCTTTAAAATCATATCATTTGAAAACAATGTCAATAATTTTTGATGTAATTGCAAACACAAGAGTTAGAGGATGAAGACGATAGTTTCATATTATAAATAGGGAAGCAGATGGCCGCAATTCTTTGCACAAGGAAACTAAATCTTAAAACCGCAAACCACAGGTGGCCATTGTAATGATACATTCAATTCACATCAACAAGAACTAATACAAAATTGTTGTTATTCTTTAATTATACGTATTATTGTGATATTTCAAAAGAAGCTTTACGTTTTTGCTTCGTGGCTTGCGTGTCTTTTGACAGAACTTCGATATTCTAAAGCAAAATTAATTATGTATATAGAGAATATGAAAATAATTGGTTTGAATGTTTTACTTACATTTAATATATATAAATAAAGTAAAAGTAAAGTAACAGCCTATACATGTTTCACTGCTGGGCAAAGGCCTCCTCTATAGAGAGGGTATCAGGGCATAATCCACCACGCGGCCCCACTGCGGGTTGGCGGACTTCACATATCTTCAAAATATATAAATTTTTTGTTATTATTTCGAAAATATGCAGGTTTCCTCACAATGTTTTCCTTCACCGCGGAGCACGTGATAAGTCAGCACTTAAAGTTAAAAACTTCATTGGTGCCGGCACCGGGGATCGAACTCAGGTTGCTCGAGTATATTGAATTAAAGGCGAGCGCCCGGACACTGAGCTATCACGGCTCTAACATATATCTAATAGCACAATTAAACGTAACTTCCATATTTCGTAAACTAAAGTTCAATGTTTAAAGTTATTCATAGGTACAGGATTAATAATTTTATTATATGTACTTAGGTAATAACGTAGGTAACCACATTAATTTTATAGAATGTATTTGAATAAAAAAAAATTGAAGCAAAAAAATCATTTATTTGCATAGATTAAATCAGGGTAATGTAGCGTTGTATTTATGAAAATAAAAATTGAGTTAGAAGCAAATTTAATCTATTCACAATACATAATTATATACTCTTTTCTAAAGATTATTTACTCACATTCATAGGCGTCAGCTGAAAATAAGCGCTACCTTAACCCTAAATTTATGCTGAGCTGACTACCTTTTGGTCGTCGCATACACCAACATTGTATTTAATCATTATTATTTAATATATCTATGTAAATTAGTGAATGGTGTTTGTGAACGATTAATAACGATTTTTCTATTCTATTCTATTTATTTATTTCTATTGATTTCTGTATTCCGGATTAGAGTAGTAGTCGTTGGTTATAAAATGCCTATTGCAGAGGAAATGCCACAAAGTTGGTCCTTTTGAATCGGAAATATTATTGCTCAATAACATCCGCATTGTATAAGAACCTTTCTCCCTTGTATTGTGCGATAACCTCCCACACAAACATATTATCATTCCGCGGGGCACTTAATCACGTTCGAAAGGAAAAGGACGCCCCCGAACTTCCAATAAGTTACCGCTAATTACGTAATTCAAGGACCGTGACCGAAATAAAAAAGACTAGAGCCAGTTGCAGGAGCACTGTGGCGGCGAAATGTAAAGGGGACGGCAGCGGGGCGGCCGCGGGACCCAGACGGGGCGGAACAGGGAAACTGCGGAGTCGTCATTTGTACGGCATTTTTTTTTTGAAAAGTTGTTGAG